TGGCATCTGTGCAGGACTGCCCTTTCCTGAAACCGCATTGGGGCTCTGCAAGCCTCTCCTCAGCGTGCCTGGCAAGGCAATGTTGAATAATCCTTGCCAGGACCTTTCCCGGCACACTGAGGAGTGAGATGCCCCTGTAGTTGTTACAGTCTGTGCGGTCCCCCTTCTTAAAGTGGGGGACCACCAGGGCATCCTTCCAATCCTGCGGAACCTGTCCAGTGGTCCAGACTGTTGTTATGATGTCATATAGGGCAGTCTGTGCACAAACGCCACCCTCCCTCAGCATTTCGCTTGGGAGATCATCTCTACCCGGTGCCTTTCCTCGTCTCAGACTCCGGATCGCCTTCAGTACTTCCTCAACAGATGGCACCTCAGCCAGCCACTCACAGGGGGTGACTTCTTCCAATATTTGAAGCACTGCAGCCTCAGCAGGGTCATCCCCACTTTGTGCCATGATGTTTTCCTGGCTGAGGGATTTCCCCTCCCCTAGGACCTCACAGAAATGCTCAGCAAATCTAAAAACCTGTTCCTGGGGGTCGGAGATTGGATCACCGTTTTTTCCCCTAATGATGGTAATAGGTGTGGCGCTGCAGGTTACTTTTTTGATGGAGATCACAAATCGAGATTTGTGATCGCGGGCCACTGAGGCAGACTCCATCTCCTCAGCAACCCGCGACCACCACCCATCCTTGCAGCGCCCTCACGGCTCTCCGAACCTCCGAGCAAGGTTGCGGTAAGCCTCCTCATTCTCTGACGTGGGATTCTGTAGCCGATGACAGTGGGCCTGTCGCTTTTTCTCAACCATCCTGAACACCTCCTCTGTCAGCCAGGGTTTCTAGGGAGGTCTGGACCGCGTACCCAAAGCGGCCATTGCAGCTGCATGAGTCACAGCCCTAAATCTTGCCCATTTACCCTCGACATCAGGAGGAGTGTGGGACGATGCCAACCTCAGCCGCACGCGATGATGAAATTCTCGCTTGCAACTTTCATCAGATAACTGAGACAAGCCACTTTAGGTTGGAATGGGGTCCTGGGTGTACACCCACCACCGGAGTGGAAGAATGACAGGCGCATCTTACAGATGACTATTCGATGGTAAGAGGGCAGATCAGCTCCACGGTAGGTCCTGGTGTCAAGGACATGGGCTCACATCTGCTGGTCCGTCACTATGTAATCCAGCAGATGTTCTTGCTTGGACCCGGCATGCATCCATGATGTTGTGTGGATGCGCCGATGCCGGAACAGCATGTTGGTAATTACAAGCCCATGGGCTGCACAAAAATCTAGCAGCCTCCTACCGTTGTTATTGAGCTGATCTGGCCCATGCCCTCCAATCGCTCCAGACCAGGTGCCAGCATCATGACCAACTCGGGCATTGAAGTCACCCAACAAGATGACTATCCGGAGGGGCCACTTTAGCCAGCACCTGTGACAGGAGGTCATAGAAGGCATCTGACTCATCGGCTTTGCCTGCATCCCTCCACGGATGTTCGTCTTCGGTGGGGCATAAGTAACCACGACCACCACTCCTCACCTCCAGTTGATAAAAAGGTGAGCCAAAATTAGCCTGGGAATTACAGCTTCCCACACCTCACCGCCACGTTCCCACGCCCCCTTCATTCTTTTGTTCAAAAGAAGAGCCACACCCTGTTGTTTGGCAGTCTGCTGCCCCAAGTAGAGGACTGTCCACCCCTCATGGTGGCAGGAGCCAGAACCGGTCCTCCGGACCTCCTGAATGCCACAGAGATCCAGGCGGTACCGATCCAGCTCCCAACAGAGGAGTGGCAGCCTCTCCTCCGCAGTGAGCGTTCGAACATTCCACGTGGCCACACGAAGTGGCTTTTCCTTGTTTGTGGAGGAGCCCCGAGGGTAGAGATTTAATCTCCTGGCTCCGCCAATTGGGGTTTGGCCAGGAGACATCATAGACGCCTGTCCCCCCGGGGCCTCCGGCACAAGCTTATTAGTTAGATATTTAGTGGTAATTTTTGAAGGTGGAGGGGTTACCAGCCCCTCGCACCCGTCCAGAGCCCCCGTTTAGCCACTGTGGTGGTCACAGACGACATGAGGGGAGGAGCCAATCGGAATTGGCCCTCCCCCCACAGCACTGTCCACGACAGAGTTGCCCGTCCGGCACCGCACATGCGCACACATATTCACTCACTTTGAGTGAGATCCTGGGACTAATTACATCTCCCGGAGGATCGCTTCGTTGAACAAAATATTTTCGTGGTTCGGTTCACAATTGCGAGTTCGCAAGTCGGATGGTTAATAGAAAATGTATGATGGAAGCTCGTTCGTAAGTGCAGATGTTCGTAAGTCGGGCGTTCGTAAGTCGGGGGGCTGACTGGAATCTGAATCCCACACGAGTCAACGTGTCGCACGTTATCCTTTCAGCGCCATATCACACACATAAAACAAGATGGCATTTTCACATTCGTCAGGCCCACAAAACACGACACAAATTCTTTAAATATGATTACGGAAATTTATTGCATTATCCCCTGCCATTCAAACATTGTAAACACGTGGAAAGTGATGCTTTATTTCCAATTTTAAACACGACTCAGCAAATACAGCCAAAACAAAATCTAAACTGCACGTACAAAAAACATTCACTGCTTCCAAGCACTGCCTGACGTGTATACTGCTAATAAATATTGCTACTGTGCTTACACACGTTCAAACAGAGCCCGATCAGTGATACATATCTTGCACAGCATTGACAGATGCAGTTTAGAAACGCAGGGATAGGGATTCACACCCTGACAAAGCAGCCAGAGCATATGATATCCCTTTGGCGAGTCGCCCCAATGTTGGTGATGGAGACATTGGTGCCTTGACTCGAAAACTAAATTAACATTTGTCGCGGTGTAACTTTTAGCTCATTCATCCTTGATGCTTCTATTCGGTTTGTTACGATTCACTTCCACAGCGAGTCGATGCATTTTCACAATTCGGCACGACAATTTAATTCGCGAATTGATCATTTTTCCATCGCTTTTACCATTTTACGTCCGTTTTGTTTGATGTATAAGCCAAAATCCAACGTGAGCATATAATCAGCCGAAAGTAGCAAATTCTCACATGCACAATGCGATGCGTGTTTTGGGCTTAAAACATTCTTTTGATAGCTGAATTGAAGCATCTTTACGTGCATTTTTGTTTTACATTTCCATTAAACTTTGTAAGAAAGTCACTTGGCAAATATACCCATTCTAAGAGCTTATGTTATTGAGATGTTCTTTGTGTATATGGTTTCAGAGCTGCTCTAAACCAACTGAAGATTTAAAGAAAAAATAACATTTAAGATATGGATTTTAAACGTTGTACATTCGTGACTGGATTGATATGGACAAACCGGCTCAACGAGAATAACCTTATTAATCTCATCCCCGGACTTGAATCACAATCTCAGTGGTGTTGGTTCAGTGCTCTGGCATGGCCCTGAGATGTTAACTCTCGGTTGTAAGATGTTCACCCTCTCGCCTGTTATACAGGAGGCCGTGGGTTCGATCCCGACCCTGACGCCTTGGGGTTTTCTCTGGGTCCTCCGGTTTTTCCCTCCGAATTTAGAAACATTTATTGGGAACATTTGTCTGATATAAATGTCCACATAAGCCACTTCGTTGAGCTATCATATGTGACCAGGTTAGTTCTGAAAAATAGCTGTATAGCTCAGTGGCCCTTACCTGGTAAAATAAAATAAAACATTTTAGAGTCACCTCAACTCTAGGTATATTCAGATGACATGAAACAGAACCATGTTTCACATTTTGAGAATTTAAAAGTTGGTTGCTGCATCACTGCACAATGGCCAACTGCAGGCATTGGTTTCAGCAGCACAGTCTTGAGATTCACCTGGAATATGAGTTTCAGGCTCACAATCTCAATACTCAGCTCTATAAAACTGAGTTTCAGAATTCACTCGACTGAGGCTGGTCTCCAGGAAGCTACGTTTCAGAATTGGACACCCGATTTCAGTTTCAACATCTTGACTTTTGATAGCATTACAAATCTACGACTGAGACCTGGTGTGTAGAAGGCTAGGCTTTTTGAGTCTCAATTCTACACTCTGAATTTGAAACCGAATAAATTTTGACTGAAATTGTATTCACAAAGTAGCCTCAAGTTTCCTCAATTTTAAATCATCTACCTATAGCAGTGCTGAGAGATGACAGAGAGATCATCATAACACATAATCAGCAAGCGAAATAAAATTAATAGCTTCAACATTTCCAAATTTTATAGACAGAAAAAAATAGAGAATGTGTATCATTCCTGATTTCATAATACAACGTTTTCCAATTTGTTCCTAAAGATGTTCAATGCCACTTCCCCCCCACCCAGATGCCTCTACTTGGAAATGGAACAGTCTGATGTGACGTCACCCATGTCTGTGCAGCAAACACGAGCCCCTTTTATCTAAAATGTAATCAAACTTCATTTCGTAAACGATGCAGGCATGGAAGCGCGACCGACCAGACTGTTCACACTATTTGCAATAACCATCCGGGCCTTCTATAGCCGCAGTAGTGACACGGATATCACTCTGGCCATGAGTGTGTTGAGATGGAATGATACACTGAGTGGCCACGAATTTTAAAACCCCAACGCCGAACCTGTGCATAGTTGTTTTTGAAATTAGCATATAAGGTGCATAGTTGATTTATTATCTTTTTTTCTGATATCTCAACAGGAAAGACCAAGTCATCAGATTTTATTTTCAAGAAGAGACGTGTGGCCAATTCGTCCTTGCCTCATTTTTTTTCTCCAATTTGTGCCCTGCTTTTCCAGGCACAACCCTTCCCGGTTTGCCTGCCATTTGCAGATTTTCACAGTTTTATTGTACAGCCGTATATCGTCATAAGATTGTGTTGCTTCATTGCTGTAATGATTAGTTGTCACGATAGGCACATATCCTGCTAAATGCAGGCTTGTAAAGTAAGCTGTGATGGTGCTGTTTGATGAGCTTTTTCATAACGCCAATGTGTACGGGATCCTTTTTTTTTAAAGTAATTCGCATATCGTTGAGCACCCAGTGTGTTTGGATACAAGCATTGCTCACGCATTTGCATGGGATATAACTTCACCGCACCCATGCCTGCCCCGTGCGTTGGGAGGATTCAGCGTTACGCGCGATGGCATCTTCACGTTGTCTTTCAGCCCGACCGGCCAACGTGAACGCGGCAAAGCCGTACGCGTGGTTTAAGGGACGATGAAGTTACGCCTCAACATGGGTTTTAATTATAAGTCAAAGGGGAAGCCATCTAGCAATGGAGGATTCTAGCGATGAAATATGAGCATTTATTCCAGAAGATTGTCGTTTCCATTGCTCTGTATTCGATGTTATTTTCTCACATTTACGAGGCAAAATGTTGTTAATCTGAAAAGATGACAAATTTCTAATAATGTCCTCACCCAGAGAAACAATTTTTCATGTATTTTTTGTCCGATGTACCAAATGGGACATACAGAGCGTGACAGACAATTACGGATTATATATATTGGTACTCCTACATAGTGACTGGAATTTCAGCAAGTTAACTTTGGAAATTCGCACCTGTTTTCAAGAAGGCAGACTCCTGAGATTATAGGAAATTCAATGAGGACCCAGCCTCCATAAACTGAGAGTGCCGTTCCCAATTATTTGAGTATTCTGGGTTTGATTTACCTGAGAATCCTGCTCAATGTTAACAGATACCTGTCATAAAATTGTGAATGCTGGCCTACATGGGTGTACAGCTAAACGCTTGATTAGTAATACGTCTCACTTACAATTATCAAGAATCCTAAAGCTCAATTGAATGAAGACCCCGGCCTTGATTGTTGTTGTCTCGACCAAGAATTAGCCAATAAAGTTGGACGGCTTTAGGAATGCTTAGACACGATATATTTTTTTAAAGGAAGTTGATACTAATCTTGAGATTCGGCTTAATTTAAATGTATTCAGGATCAGTGTTTAAGACTCTGTTTTGACTGTCTAAAGACGAGGCTCAGGTTTCAGGATCAATATCTTCAGACTCAGGATTTGGACAGAAAGGACGAGGCTGGGATTGAAGGGGTCACTGCTCTTCCAGATGCCTGTAGGAGTCAGAGTAGGAACTTCCTAGCTGTGTCTTCACGGAATAATTGTGTGTGCTGGCTGTCAGCCGTTGGAAGGCCCCCTCCACGGCACATGCAACCGCCTTGCCTGCCCGCGACACTGCATTTCCAACCTTGGACTCCTTCTAAATGCGCGAGCATTCGGTGAGGGGACATAGAAGAAACAACCACACAACATGATCACGTTAATTCCCTGAATTAATTTAAGAGCTTAATTAATATTGTTGTTATCGAAATATATTCCGATTGTGCTATCAGCATCACAGTCAAGAGATGAAAACAAATTCGGTGGACGACTCTTGCAGATAACAGTGCACCAGTCCAGATGAATAGACCAACATACATGCCAAAGTAAATGTATTAATGGCGGTGGAGATTCCGGATTTGCTGGTCTCACCTGAACGGTGTAGGTCCCATGCCGACCGATTAGGAACCGCGATAAAAATGTGATGACGAGCAGAGCAGTGGGAACCAGAACACAGAGGCTGATGACCAGGGCCCGCCAGTCTGCACCAGACAGGACAACAAGAACATAATTGAGCAATACGAGGAGGAGGAGAGCAATGTGAAATTGCCACCACTTTGTGTTAAATTTGGAGTGCACTGAGCTGTCAGCGTATTCCATCATCAATAACGCCCGAGCCTGTCCAATCATCAGTGAGCGTTAAAGAAAAGAAGCACAATATCCTGTGATCGTTTATTTATTTCTGATTGGCCAATGATGTGCATGACAAAGCTTCCATCCCAGGTGCCCACGAGGAGCAATCAGAATTCACCAAATTGAGTCGACTAAATTTGTTTTACAATGGGCATTGATGTAGAAATCATTGCCCAATGGCAATTTCCGTCAACAATTGCCCTCGTGTATCATGGCCCTAAATTACACTGAGGTCTGCGAACGTGTGCTGTAATGACCTGTGGCCACCGCTTGCTGCTGAATGGTGTCGTGTTGTGTTATTTTACTATTATTTTAAGTGCTTGTAACAGAGCGTACATTTGTGTGAATGAACAATTGTGCACGCATGCAATTGTGCCTATACGTGGATAACCAGGTGAGCCCATTTGTGATTGTGTTTGCAAGCGCATGGTACTGTCTGTGCACTCGTGTTTACGTAAATGCGGCTAAACTGTGCTGCAATAACAATCACCTGTGTTCAATGCCTGTGCCAAGTAGTATCTTAACTTGCACTGGGCCACCACTAGGTCAATTCAGACTTAAAGGAGTACATACCAGAACTGGTGTGAACATTGATAAAGAGGAGACAAAGTTGGCTGAGCGTGGTTATGACCAACCACTTTTGTGCGACGTGCAGGCCACATTGGATGCTCACTAATAGCATTCATGCCAACAATCTAAAAGCTCAAACTTTGGATGTTTAAATAATGTCTGGAATATTGTGTATAGATGTATGCCTCAGGGTGTTAGTGACGTATGCGCTTGTGTATGTAATGGTGTGTGTCTGTTATGTGTGGTGTGTGTGACGTGCGTATGTGGATTTCAGGATCACTTACTCCACTCTGCAGTAGGTGTTGATGGTGAGGTGCTTGAACTTGATAGAGGTATGGTGGTTGAGATAGGTGTGTCTGTGCTTACCAATATGCCTGAAAACATGATAGATGAAAACACTTCTTAATACAAATCACATTATAATATTACTAATTCATCGATTACTCATAAGTTTTATATATATACTAAATGACCTAAACTATGGCAGCAAGGGAAATGTCACACAAACGTGTGATTAAAAGAGCCCTCAATGAATATAATACAGAAAACTTATCACACTATCAGGCTTCAACAAAGAGCCTTCATATTAACGAGAATTGTCTCATCTGATACAAAAATTAAAACACCGGCACGTTATAATTGTGCACTTATTGCACTGGTACATAGAATGCTACATTGCAAAACATCAAAATGATCTAAGAAAAAAACAATTTATTGACCAATCTCATGCAGGAATGAACACTTTTTGGCCCTTCGAGAAAATCTATAGTTTTTTTTTCACCAGCAGAAATTCTAAAACACACGCAACTCCACGCACCCTTTAAATAGGGTGTTTGTTATGGTTGTGTGATGGTTGCTTTTGTTCACCTCCGTAATCCTTCCCAACCATTTCGGACCCTTTCACCACAATGCTCTATTCTTACAGGGATCAGTGACGAGAGACTCCTGCCCTCAGCGCGATCTGCAGGTTGTGAGTGTGGCTGGTTCTCGTGACCTATTTGCCTGTGCTTTGCTGAAACCCAGGTGACAGCCCATGGACGTGTTTGAGCCTCTTTGGCTCACACCGTCACGATGTGAGCATATTTTATTGTTGTGGCAATAAATATTTTATTTTACCAGGTAAGGCCCACTGAGCTATATCTCTTTTTCAGAAGCGGCCTGGTCACAAAAGACAGCTCAACGTCTTTTCATGCAGAAATTTATAGCAGCCAAATACTACGACATTAACAGAAACATATGGCATCCTCCCTCAAATGACAATGCTCCAGAGAACTAAACATCCGTTTTGGACGACAGACAATGGGTTTTTGAAAATTACTCTTGCTATGTGAGTGCATGTGTCGGAATGTACTGGTGCAACTGAATGTGTGACGTAAACTATGGGTTATATATTGTATCTGCGGGGTATGCGTGGGTGTATTAGCATACATATTGTGTGAATTAAGTGTAAATTAGCAAACAGCTTATCCTGCTTTCAATTAGTTTGAGCATCACACTCTCTGGGAGGAAAATTACTTGATTCACTGATGATAAGGATATATGTATATATAAGTGTAAGAATTTTGAGCTGACCTGAAGCTATAAATAAAACTATTAAACCTGTAGGCCATGCGTTTTATAAGCCCACAATTAAAAACTAATTGCGGTATTGAAATTGTTCTTTTTACAACAATCTCAACTTGCTTTCTATTTTAGAACTTCACTAGACTATACATCCCTCACTAATTTCTGTTGTGTTTTTATGACTATATTACAATTTTTCGATTTAGAGCTTTCGTGACTGGTTCTTTCGGTAAAGTCACGTAGAAGGGAAATAATAAAATAATACAAACAAAACAATAAAATTCTCAGTGACTTTACTGAAAGAACCAAGAATATATATTACAATTAATAAACGTATTGATATTCTTTTACATATTGCTTGGCTTAAGAACGGAATTGTATCTGACAACTTCTGCTCCTACCACTGTGTGTCAAATTTAAATCAGGATAGGAGCCATTTGTGTGAGGATGATGCGCTTGGCTGTAGGTGACCTTGTAGGCAGTGGCTGTGTGTGGTGTAGGAGCCCAACAGCTGTGGCCGAATATATGTTGCACTTCTTTCGCACCGTACATAGCCAACCATGCTAATCGGAGGTTGCGGAGGAGGGGCAACAAATTGAACAAGTATACACGTGTGTTGCGCGTGTGTGACTCCTTACATTCCGTGCCCTGCCTTGCGCCCTCTGTTGTTGTGTACGCGGCCCAACAGCTGCACGTGAACAAGCCCGCGCCGCTGGGAATGCAATCGGCGTGCGGGTCGCAGTCGTTGCTATCCGCCGTGTCGTTTGCGCACGGGTTAAAGTCTGCATGGACACACAGACACACACATAGCCCACACACGTTTTACACACGTATACACTACACACATATACTATACACGTATTTACGATGCTGCCCATGGTGTTAGAATTGGCACGTTGGGCTTGCGACCCCGGAGGTCGCTGGTGCGATCTCCAGGCGCGGCAGTTTCTTAAATCCCCTCCCCAGACCCCTGCTGGTAGTACAAATGGGTACAGTACACCAGTTCGTGTGTGGGGGAGTTAAAGATGTGGGCAATGCCACTCGGGGGTGCAACTGTGGGGGTCGGCAGCGTGATGCGACGCATAGGGGCCAAACGAATCAACAGATGAACAAGTAAAATGTGTTGAGGAAAAAAAACCATTCAAAAACATTTATTCATTTAAAAAAATTACCTGTGGTTTACCATGCACCAGGCCCAGTTAACGCATCCGGCTATTATATCAATAGAACAGGATTAAGTTGCGCGATCCACAGCCCCTTTGAGTAAATCCTCGACCGATGGGGCTGGCATGGAAGCAGGCTGCATGATAACTTAATTGTGAGTATTGTATTGTACCCTTAATAAAACAAATGTTTTATTAAAACTGTCACTGTGAGACTGTCTTCCTCTAAACCCAACACACGGTGCAACCACAATAATATCGCTAGTTATAGTCTACGTATTATTGTATACGGGTCATCTTGCACAGCACCCCCGTTCAAATCGGTAGTTGCACCGCTGGGTGTGATGAAGAAATTTCACGGCTGCACCTTTATCACATTCTACCCCCCCCCCCCAAATTAGCCTTGGTTCTCCCCAGTGCTCTTGTTTACTCATTCAAGGGCAAGTCGACCAAAGAGCGGTTCAGACATTCGCCACTGACATTGGTCGCCTGAGCGGGAATCGAACTCGGGTTTTCCAGATTCATAGCGCTGACCACGGCACCACCGCTCCCCACATATTGACACACACACGCACCTCCGATACGCACGGTTGACTGCGTACTGTGCGAAATATGTTCAACATACACCTACAAAGACAAAGATCCCCCGTATAGCCTTAACAGACTGTTGGGGCGAGTGCTGTGAACGACCACCTACAAAGACAAAGATCCACCGTATAGCCTTAACAGACTGTTGGGGCGAGTGCTGTTAGTGACCACCTACAAAGACAAAGATCCCCCGTATAGCCTTAACAGACTGTTGGGGCGAGTGCTGTGAACGACCACCTACACGCACACATTTGACCCTGGCTACTTCGTCGTCCTGTGTTTGACCTCGCTCAGCCTCCCCTTCCCCGTGTACCCCCCGATCCCGTGCCCATGTCTCCTCCTTCCCTTCTTTAACCGCGTTCCTCAACTCTGACGTAGAGCGTCTTCAGATGTGCTTGCATTTAGATGCTCTTCATGAATTGCTGCTGCTGCTGTTGTTGTTACCCAGGAACGCGTTTTGAGTTATGGTCCTGCATATTGTGAATGGTTTAACCAATGCCACTCATGGGCAGCATGTGAGTAAGAGGTGACATGTAGTACGCAGATAAAATCCAAGCACGTGAAGGCACGGCAGTCAATCAAAGACGCCAACTCGCCGCCGCCCGATGTCCCCACGTACCAACCGGGGCTCGTATCTTGCTCAGCGCACGTTGACGACAGTTTTGGGTCATCGGCCACTCACCTGCCACTTTCACGTCCCCGAAGCTGTAGTCTGTACTTTCATTCGAGATGGACTGCATCACTTCGTCGAGCGCGGGGGAGCTCAGGTTGAGGGCTGTGTCCGTCGCCATGCGGACGTTGAAATCGCCGACGGTAGACACAGTGTCGCGTGCCTCCCGGGCGCGCGGGGACACGACGTTGCGGGCCACGCGACGGATCACGGTGTTGAACCTGTCCACTTGCAGCGTGAAGTTCACGTCGCCTCTCATGTTCAAGAACTTGGCGCGCATGCGTCTGTAAAGCTGTGACGGGGAGGAGGCATACGGGCTCGGCTCAGGATCTACGTTGTAGAGACATTACCCGTGTGGGTCTGAGCTGTGACCGTTTCTACATTAGCGTCAATACAACCAGCAGTTGTTTCCACCCGCTTAAGAATAACAATAATGATCATATTTATTTGTTATACAGCGGTGGCAATGCAACTGCATCACGCGCAATGCTGCGACATCCGCAATCTACGGAGGCGCGTAAATGGAGATGTCTTCAGCCATTGAATAAGTGTTTTACGTGTTGCCCTTCCCCGGCGCCTCCGACTAGTACAGGTGGCTCCGTACGGTGCGAAAGAAGTTCAACATAACATTAATGTGTTTAACACGTAGGCTTTCGCGACCAATATTATTCATAATAAAGGTTTTTGGGTTAGACCGCGAACCAAAGAGTAAGTTCAACATACATGCATACAAACTGGAGAACGGAGTGAAAATGCAGGAGGGACAGATGATATAGGGCCACACTCGCTGGAGTGTGGCCCTTTTCCTGGAGGTTTTCGAAAGAATTTGTGCAATCTTTTTTGGTGGATTAGAGGCGTGCATAGCCACCACTGCCGACTTTACTCGAACTGATGGAAATGACGGGGGGGGGGGGATTTTTGAAGCAGCGTTTGACAAAGTCTATTCCTCAAAATCCAACGCCATATATACATCTTTACCCGTTTACCTTCTGCCAAATTACAAATCGTTTCTTTTTTTAATGCTACGCCCCCCTAATGCTTTTCAAACATGTATTTCGTGACGCAGAGGGTCCAGATTCAATGTAAGATATGTGCAGTGTGTGTGTTGTGTGTGGGGCACGTGGAGCAATAATCAGGCGTGTGCAGTGTGCAACGACGCTCAATTTGTATTTGAATGGAGTCAAACGAACCAACTGGAAAATACCGGAAGTACAAAAAGCGGAATTTGGGAAACCATGACAATATGTTGTGTTGAACTGACTTCGACTAAAAACAAAACAAATAGAAAATAAGCCTTTGGCCTTGAAATACAGATGCATGCAGAGGATGCTTGGATTATCATGGTTGGATAGGGTAAACAACTTGAAAGTTCAAAAGCGAATGTAGCAGGACAGCATAGTAGGAGGGCAATGGATTCAACATTCCCATCGCCCCTTCCGTCAGTACCCCCCCCCCCCGGCCCCTTCCAGCTATTGATTCAACCAGAAATTCTGCGAGCTCCAACTCAATTACGAATTAGGGTTTCAAACGAATGTGCAAAGTCAAATTTATAGTGGATGCAATACAGAAGAGATTTTCATATGAGGTACAGGAAGATTGCATCTGAGTGGAACTAAAGAGAAATAGAAGCTCCTGATCTCCTACACATTGGTACATGAGGATGTTGGGAACTTAATTCATGCATAGGGTAACACAACTTGGAATACTGTAATTTAACATTGAATAGCAGTGCATGGGAAGCAAGTGTGAACATCAGAGCACAGCGTGGAAGTAAAGATGGAATCATATGAGGCTGCGATGGGTGGTACGTGAAGGATGGAGGATGCAGGTTACTAATCAAGGCATTGGAGTGGCACCCAGAGGCCAGTGACCAATGGGAAGGCCTGAAAGCCGGATTATTGTCAATGCAAGTACATGTGTGTGTAAAGCGATGTTGAAGTTGATAGTGTTAGTATGTTGTTGTTGGTGTTTGTGATGGTGATGTTGGCAGTGGTATTATTACCTCTGTCATGAAATCCTTCTCATTGTTTCCAGTGTTCCAGTTTTTGATGGAGAAGGTCATGAGAAACACCATGCCATCTGTGAGAAACATAATCATCAGCCGTTAAAACACCATCCCTATTAACACCATCACCACAAACATCACCATCATGAAAATGTACACCTCTATCACGATCATCACCGGCATCATCACTGTGCTTCTTTCGTATCTACCGCTACTCCAACTGCTGTCACATCATCACAATCATCGCCAAACTACACTGGTATCTAATGCTCTTCCAATGCTGCCACTGCTGTCACTACTGCTGCTCGTGGTGCTCACTAATGATCCTTGTGGTGGACACTACTTCTGCTCGTGGTGCTCACTACCAATGCACGTGGTGGTCACTTGTAATGCTCGTGGCAGTGGTGAATGCTGCTGCCCGTGGCGGTCACATACCAGTGCTGACCGAGCGGTTGAGCTCCAGGCCGCTGCAGTATTTGGCTCGGAGTGTCACTGTGTAGATAGTGCCCGGGGACAGTCCGTCCATGGTGACCATGTTGTTCGATGTCTCCACGGTGGTGTTCTCGTGGTTATCGCCCACACGGATATAATTCCCGACCGGCTTGAACGTCACCAACATTGGGACAGGAGCCGTACTCCGCCGGCCAGGCCAGGTCCACGTGACACTCACAGAGTACATCGTTTGGTACATCGGATAAAAGTTTGACATCTTGATGCCTGGGTGTGGAAATACAAGAGTAGCACACATGCGAACACACACACACGCACACAGATATATCATCGTCCTTATCATCATATTTATATAATATTATATATAACATATATGGGGCGTCGAAGTGACGCGCTATTATCTCTATCGCCTGCTATGGAGGAGGTTGTGGGTTCGATACCAGAACCCTGCAGGGCCTCCGGTTTTTGCCTTCTACATTTAAAAACATGCGTTTACATAATTGGTTACAATAACTTCCCATATATTATAAAAGCCACTTCGATGAGCTGAATGTGTGGCCAAATCGCCTTTGATGAAATTGATTATTTACCTGGTAAATAACATAGTAATATAAAATTTATTCATAACACACATTTTTATTATTGCTGATTGTATCAAGCCCCTCTCTCGAACGCCTGCAGACAATGGGATGGCCAAGAAATCATCCCAGACAATAGGATGGAGTCTTGCGACTCGATTATGCTTTCCTTTATTGATACGTAAATAGCATTTTATTAAGGAGTAATATGTTGTCCTCGCTGACACCTGCACCAATACAATAGCGAGCCCTCGTCTTTGTGTCACTGACACCTTCACTAGGGCAGGAAACTCCATTGCTGACTCTGTACATTTCTGACAAACAAGCCGGGCCTCACCACATTGACTCTGGCTGGTATGTGGACTTGAAGGGTCGGACTTGTGGGTGTGGTTCCAACAATGCCTGCTTGTCCAATCGTGGGTCGTTCCAGAGCTGCTCTTCTCGGTGCTGTTGGCAGTCGACGTTTGAACAGTCGTTGGTATTTTGGTGGTGATCGCTCCGATGGGTGTCTCAGCAAGCGTCGTGTTCAGCACTGAAGCGGTTGCTGTGGCTGTGATCATCGTTGCCTCGCTGCTGTTGTGAGTAGATGTCGCTGGATAAAGTAGTCGTCGTGGTCGCCGATATCGTGGTATTTGCTTTGCTAGTCGTGTCAACTGCCCACGCTTCTGGAAGCCCCCAAGGTCGTCATTGTTGTTACCATAGGTGCAGTTAATAGTATAACTGGCGAGAGACTGGTTACTTGCATTGGAAGATAAGGTAGCCATCTCAGAGTTCAACAGACGTCTGGTGGTGGAGATTGGACGTTGGGATGAGGTTGGTGGTTGTCAGGTTAGGCTGCTGAACTGCTCGACTTTCTCGGATTGGAAACTGTCAGTTTTGGTAGATGGTGAGTTTGACTCCAGATGTTGCTTGAGCCTTGGTTACGTTGGTGGAAGTTGCTGTGGTCATCACAGTTGCCTGGGTAGTTGCTTTGCTAGTTGAAGCAAACATGTTGATGCTGTTACGGGTAGATGATGCGTTTATTCTAGATGTTGATTGAGACCCAGTGACGTTGCTGGAAGTTGCTGTGGTCCTCACAATTCCCTGGGTAGTTGCTTCGCCGAGTTGAAGCAAACATTCCAATGCTTGTTACAGGAGATGATGAGTTGATTGCAGATGTTGAGATTGAGCCCCGGTTACATTGCTGGAAGTTGCTCTGGTCAATATGGTTGCCTGGGTAGTTGCTTCGGTAGTTTGGCGCAAAACATTCCAATGCTTTGTACAGGAGATGATGAGTTGATTGCGATGTTGATTGAGCCCAGGTTAGATTGCTTGAAGTTGCTGTTGGTCATTATGGTTGTCTGTGTAGTTGTTTCATTAGTTGACGCCAAACATTCCACTGCCTGTATGGGAGATGATGAGTTGATTGCAGATGATAAATGAGCCCCAGTTACGTTGCTGTGAAGTTGCTGTGGTCATTATGGTTCCTGGGTATGTGCTTCAGTAGTTGATGCCAAACATTCCACTGCCTGTTATGCTCGACGATGAGTTGATTCAGATGTTGATTGATTCCCCAGTTACGTTGCTGTTAGTTGCTGTGGTCATCACAATTGCCTGGGTAGTTGCTTCGGTAGTTGACTCAAACATTCCACTACCTGTTTCAGTGGATGGTGAGTTTACTCAGATGTTGATTGAGACCCCTGTTACGTTGCTGGTAGTTGCTGTGGTCAACACGGTTGCCTCGGGTAGTTGCTTCGGTAGTCGACTCAAACATTCCAACTGCCTGTTTCGGTAAATGGTGAGATTGATCCCAGATGTTGATTTGAGCCCCTGTTACGTTGATGGTAGTTGCTGTGGTCAACACGGTAGGCCTCGGTAGTTGCTTCGGTAGTTGACTCAAAACATTCCGCTGCCTGTTCGGTAGATGGTGAGTTGAATCCAGATGTTGATTGAGCCTGGTTACGTTGCTGGTAGTTGCTGTGGTCATCACCAATTGCTCTGGGTAGTAGCTTCGGTAGTCGACTCAAACATTCCGCTGCCTGTTTCGGTAGACAGTGAGTTGATCCCAGATGTTGATTGAGCCCCTGTTACGTTGCTGGTAGTTGCTGTGGTCAACACGGTTGCCTCGGTAGTTGCTTCGGTAGTCGACTCAAACATTCCACTGCCTGTTTCGGTAAATGGTGAGTTGATCCCAGATGTTGATTGAGCCCCTGTTATGTTGCTGGTAGTTGCTGTGGTCAACACGGTAGCCTCGGTAGTTGCTTCGGTAGTCGACTCAAACATTCCGCTGCCTGTTTCGGTAGACAGTGAGTTGATCCCAGATGTTGATTGAGCCCCTGTTACGTTGCTGGTAGTTGCTGTGGTCAACACGGTTGCCTCGGTAGTTGCTTCGGTAGTTGACTCAAACATTCCGCTGCCTGTTTCGGTAGATGGTGAGTTGAATCCAGATGTTGATTGAGCCCTGGTTACGTTGCTGGTAGTTGCTGTGGTCATCACAATTGCCTGGGTAGTAGCTTCGGTAGTCGACTCAAACATTCCGCTGCCTGTTTCGGTAGACAGTGAGTTGATCCCAGATGTTGATTGAGCCCCTGTTACGTTGCTGGTAGTTGCTGTGGTCAACACGGTTGCCTCGGTAGTTGCTTCGGTAGTCGACTCAAACATTCCACTGCCTGTTTCGGTAAATGGTGAGTTGATCCCAGATGTTGATTGAGCCCCTGTTACGTTGCTGGTAGTTGCTGTGGTCAACACGGTAGCCTCGGTAGTTGCTTCGGTAGTCGACTCAAACATTCCGCTGCCTGTTTCGGTAGACAGTGAGTTGATCCCAGATGTTGATTGAGCCCCTGTTACGTTGCTGGTAGTTGCTGTGGTCAACACGGTTGCCTCGGTAGTTGCTTCGGTAGTCGACTCAAACATTCCACTGCCTGTTTCGGTAAATGGTGAGTTGATGCCAGATGTAGATTGAGCTCTGGTTATGTTGCTGGTAGTTTCTGTGGTGATCACAATTGCCTGGGTAGTTGCTTCGGTAGTTGACTCAAACATTCCGCTGCCTGTTTCGGTAGATGGTGAGTTGAATCCAGATGTTGATTGAGCCCCGGTTACGTTGCTGGTAGTTGCTGTGGTCATCACTGTAGCCTCGGTAGTTGCTTCGGTAGTCGACTCAAACATTCCACTGCCTGTTTCGGTAAATGGTGAGTTGATCCCAGATGTTGATTGAGCTCCGGTTATGCTGCTGGTAGTTTCTGTGGTGATCACAATTGCCGGGGTAGTTGCTTCGGTAGTTGACTCAAACATTCCGCCTGCCTGCTTCGGTAGATGGTGAGTTGAATCCAGATGTTGATTGAGGCCCCGGTTACGTTGCTGGTAGTTGCTGTGGTCATTACGGTTGCCTCGGTAGTGCTTATCAGTAGTTGACATCGAACATTCCGCTGCCTGTTTCAGGTAGATGGTGAGTTGAATCCAGATGTTGATTGAGCTCCGGTTACATTGCTGGTAGTTGCTGATGGTCATCACGGCAGGATTTGAGGTGGTGGTAGTGGTAGTTGCTCCAGGAGTTGACTCAAACATTCCGCTGCCCTGTTTCGGTTGAATGGGATGTCACGAATGCTACTGCTGTTGACAGGACAGCAGTCGAACCTGGACATCAGACCTGGAGACTCTGAATAATATCTGTTGACCCGCTTGTTGTCCCTGTCTTCACCGTCGTAGTCGTATTAACTGGTGGTGGGCGTGGTTAGTACCCTCTGCTCGCTGGTTCGCCTCCGTTGGCAAAGTCGCTGTTGTGGTCAACTCCGAGAAGCCGCTGGCCATCGTCAGTCGTCATGAACATTCCTTGGTGAGGTTGTGGTCGTATAGGTGGATGTGGTGGGCTGGTCCACTCAGCGACAAAGGTGGAAGCAGCAGTCAAGGCGGTTGTGGGGAGTAGTGATTGTGGTCTCATACAACCACTACCAGTCTCGGTCTCTTGAGTCAGACGCTGGGTGGAGGTGAAGACAGCCCCGCCAGTTTGCCCCACCAGTGTGGACCGATGCTGTGGAGGCCGCCTCAGGGTGAGAGGTCGTTTCATGGAGGCCGCTTCCATCTTCCGAGCCCCACATTGTCATGGTTGCAGCGTGGTGTTGTCGTTGATGCAGATGTGGCGTTGGGTTGTGGTGGTTGGTGGTGGTGGTAGTAGCCGTGTCGTGGTTGACAAGGGTTTGGAGAAACTGAACTTGTGAATGTAATCGGACACTGAGAAGTTAGGAAAACAGAATGGCTTTAGCATACACCAACTGTTGTCTCACCAAGTACAGCAATGAATGATTGACTGTATAAAGAGATTTTGAGTGTTATCCCATTGTTATTCAATCATAGTTCTCTCAGGGTATTACAGTTTCCTCCCACATGCAAATCATTAATTGGATTGACCAAATATCACGTGGCAGGAACTTCTGAAAAAAGAGGTCTTATTGACAACACACCGGTGGGCTAAAGTAGTGAATTATTTGTCTTTTGTCAACGTGACACTTTTTTTTTGCTGATTGGCCGTGTCGGGTGGTGGAGGGTTACGACAATTTATAAATAAACGCGATATAAACACCAAAAACCTTTATTATGAAGTGTTTCCAGTTTAAAACATTATTTGCATCCATCCTGGGTTCCCTATAATGGATAGGTTTTCTTAATGACATATAATACATCCAAACAAAATAGGTTGTAAATACCATCAAAACAACACACCATATTTATGAATGCATTGATCGTTCACTGACAATATAGTTTCGAGCTTTTAGAGCTGAAAACATGCTAATCAAGTTAATAAACGAATGTTTTTGGATTGGTATACCAGTCACTGGTGACCGGGAAATGAGCATGTCAATTCACTGAACGTGAGAATTCACTTACAAGGATGCAACTGGAACATAATTAAGAAGCCAGGGCCTCAATGGTTAGTGCTTGGACACAGCCATTTTGAGCCACATAAGCGACCAAGATCCCCCGTCTCTCCTCACCCCTTCACCCGAGCATTCCTCCGTCACGGCCACGAGAGATGTCGCACAAGCAATGGCGCCTCCACCTTCTGTGTCGTGGAAGGATTCGCCATCTCTGGACGTGTTTAAAACTCCTGATCACACGGCGTTTGGACTTGAGCTTGCAGCGATGACTTCGCTAATGGAGTCGGGTTGCTCGTCGAGACGCTTCTCTCCTTCGTTGTTTTTACATTAGGACACAAGGAGCTCTTCCTCTTTGTTAAAGGTGGCGGTGTGGTGTTAATGACGGCAATGTCGCCTTTTGTGACCGGGGAGGAAAATGGATATGGGCTGTGGTTTCTGTTGGTCCATCATCAAGAACTCATCTTCGACAAATGTCCTCCACTCGAGCTTTGCTGAACGCGATCCACCGGCCCAAAAAGAGTGCCACTATCGTCACCACGCTGAGGCCACGTGCTGCCCACATGATTGGACGCCATTCTTATTTTTTTTGCGGCCTGTGGGTTCGTGTGGTGACCTTTATTTATTTTTAAACAACTTGTGCGTTGCTTGTAATTCTTATTGAGGTGGATTGTTCTACTTTCTGTGCTGTTAAAGGAAGAAAAACAAAACAACATTTCAGAATATGATTCAATGTAACATATCATCATTTTTGTACCATGATCAGTACATTAGTGCGTTGCGTGGTTCCTGGCGGCAGTGTAGTCCAAACCCAACTCAGGGCAAGTGGCCCATGGAGGCGTCTAAAGAGAGGGGTGAACTGAGAGGGAAATCAGTGTGCATTTCAGTCAGTGGCATGGGCCCTTGATGCAAAGGAATTCAAATTTGGCTCCTGTCCAATTCTCCTCCCAGCCCTTTCCTCTTCATAGCCGCCCAGCGCCTGCACCCCTCCCCGGCCCGTCACTCTTTCAAGCACATGTCCCAAATGAGCCAACGCTTTTCGACACCCAATAGCAGGGTTTCCCAAACTCCAGTCCTCGCGATCCATCACACTTCACATTTCCGCATCAAAGCTGTCTGCGTCACGTGCACACCACACGCACCCAGGATCTCGAGCATCATTTGAGTCGGCTCTATTAACGCAGACATGCGTTAATGTATAAGGACGTCCACGTGGCACGTAATTTAAAACAATCGTTGGGCGTGTGCTGCATGTATCGAGTTAATTTGAATACGAATGGGAGTAAATTGGTAAACGAGAAAATGTGTAGCGCCGGTGGGTCGCAAGGAACTGGAGTTCGGAGGCTACAGATTTCCCTCGATCAGTGTGAGTTTCGGTTGGTGCGATTTTACATTTAAGCGGCTACCTATTTTTACCCAAAATTTGCGAAACAGTATGCAGTTCGAATTAATTCATATGCGGCTATGCGGTCAGACAAGGAGACAACATTGCTCTGTGTGCTGTGTGAGCTACTCGGCAGGCAGCTGTGTCGTGCGGTTTCACTTTGCGCGCCCTCTTTTGTAACGTAATCTACCCCCAAAAAGCGATGTAAAACCTGTATACATATATATTTTTTTGGGCTTCCAACCCAATACTATAACGGCAAACGGTCAGAAGGTGGCGGTACAGCAATGAGAACCCTCCTGAAAAAGAGTCTTGAGACTCATTTAGTGTTGTCTGGGCATTATAAATTGGTGCACGGGTATTGACGATACAAGACCAATTGTAGGTGTAACTAACAATAAACAGTCCGGTCTTTTGTAACAATACAGAATTGTGCGTGTTATACACCGTCTAATACGAACAACAAGCAGTGCCAGATTAAGCTAGAGTGGGGCCTGTAGCATATGTTATAAAGGGGCCCTAAATAAATAAACATTAAAACTTTACCTGCATAGTAAAGTAATTGTATTTTTTTCATTTGCTATACAGCCAGATAATACGACAAATCGCTAACCTTAAACACCCAATCCTGATTAAACACCCAGTCGTTCATAAAAGTTGAAGGCAGTATAGTACTATAGTAATAGAACAAGTGCAGAATCACTGAACCGGAATTGATAGCTTGAAAGCATTTAGCGCGGGGCCCTTGAAAGTGCGGGGCCCATAGCTACATGTGTAGCTACTACTACAAGTAGTAGCTACATGTGTAGCTACTTTTGCTACTGGGGTAATCCGGCACTGACCAACAAGGCGTATCTTGCATACGCGCTTATAGCAACAGATGAGCGTCCGCCTCTGCACATATAGACATGTGGACACAGTCTAATCGACCTTGCGAAACCCATGTTCCCGAGAAAGTATTTGTTAAAGCAGCAAACGATTTCTGGAGTTTCCCCAGGCGTTAAAGGCAAACATAGATTTCATTGTGTGAAGTGTAAAATGCATGTGAATAACTGGCGAAAGAAAGCCCGTATAGCGTGTTTCCGTTGGTCAACCCCATTCACAGGCATTCTCTCGGGACATTATTATACGCGGCGACATGTGGAGATGTTTCCCGAAATTGGATTATCAGAAACAACGGCATGAACGTTAAAGGAAAGGAAAAAACATGAACATCGCCTTTGATATTTAAGTTCAACACACGTACATATTTGTCTGACGACCATAGTCCACTATAAACGTCCAATGGAATTTTAACTAACAAAGATTGGTTTGAAATATCTATTTATGAAAGATGCTAGCTGAGTAACCGGAACCCGATTTATAGATCGCCTCGCAGTGCTTGACTTCAATATAACACTAACCTTTTAACAAACCCCAAAACGAATAAAACCACGATAAAAGAAATGCATTAGATAAATTAAAAGGCACAAACCCTACGCAGACATTTTCAATACGGGGGACTAAGAGGACTCAATCGACTGAGAATCCCTCACGGTCTGGGGCAGGGAGCGCTCCCACAGACGAGGGGACGCCCGGCGGTCTGCTGCTGGCTGAAATCGTTGCGTCTCCAATCACATTTAAAAACAACAAAAACACTGCGGTGAGGATGTATAGTTTTCGAAGCATTCGAGAGACAACGGTCGGAGGAGGAACCTCCCAACTAGAGAGCACGGTGGAATGTGCGTCCCGGCAGCAATAGGTGAAGAGCCGAGATCAAAACGATGAAGTGATTAACAACAGGCGGATGCGCTCTTGGAAAGCTGAAGTTGAGAGTGAAACGTGCGTGTGTGAATAGGAACGTTTTTCATTAACTGCGCGATACCTGTTGTGACACATGGATAGTAAAAGTGGGACAGTGACGAAGAGGATGAAAACAAAAGCTGAAAGAAGTGCGAATAAGAGAAGCAAGGATAGATTGACAGATTGCTTGGAATTACATGAGATATGGCGAAAACGTGAATTGGACAGCACACACAACCGATGATGATGATAAAGGCAACATGTTTGACTGTTTAGGAAAACGTAAGTGGGGTTGGGGGAGGAGGACACGTTGCTTAGAAGGGGATGGATGTTGGCCGGGGGGCGGGGGTGAGAGTAACTCGCGAGTGGCAGCCCAAGGGAGCAACAGCGCGCAAGGGAACGATGAAGAGCGATCGAGTAAACGGGCGCTGTTGAATCTGCTTACTGGGCGGATCGATCATCCAACAGTGGATTGATTATGGCTGCTGCTGCTACTGCTCTTAGCTGATGGTGTGTGTAATGCAACCGGTAACAATGTAATATACTCTTCTGCACGCGCTTACACATGTACAAAATCGCATCGGGCCACATGCACAGCGCATCGTTTACGTGCTGGGTACATTGAACACAGTAACATGTAAATACACAGCAGTACTGTGTTCGCCGGTGTACGGGGTTATTTCTTTCCCATATAGTCAATCGTGTCGCGTTATTGTGCACCAAGATTAGATTCCATCTGGGTCTGCTTCTATATTTACATATACTATTACACGAGTAACCAATTCCGGGCTTTATCCGCGCTTGGGCGTCGCCACTCAACATCAGCAAAATAACTGTGTTCACTAATGAGCGGGATCGTACACTGGGCCATTATAGTTCGCGCGAAGATTCCATGCGAAGTCCGGTCCTTTAGCCCGAGTCTGCTCTATTCAGAAAAAACAATTACCCTCAGGACCGACACATTCAAGACTCAAATTAGAATCTTTCGGTTTTTCAGAATTTTTCCCTTCTTATTCGCAATAGACTTGGACTGTATTTGTACCAAATTCTCTACTTTCTAACCCTCTTTTGAACATCATTAAAGTGTATCCAGTGAGGCATACTACCATCTGTTATGCACATACATATCAGCACAAATATAATTATTCCTAGAAAATGATACACGGGATTTTTCTATAATAATGTTAACGTTCCTACATACAAGCACAATAATTTAAACAGTTACACGCAAAATTGCATTTCCACACTTTTAAATTCCTACACACTTACCCGCAACAAATGTTTCGAATATGATGATAGACGTTGTCCAACCTTTTCGTCAATTAAATCTGCGTCTGTCCCTGTCTAACTCTCAATTTCAGTCAGTCTGTCTCAAGTATTTCACTGCTGCTGCTGCTGCCCGTCTCTCGGTGTGTTCCAGCTTGTGCCTTGTCAATGTCTGTCACTGCGAAGCCCAAGTCCCTGCACTCTTTAACAGCCGCACCCACCCCGCTCAACTGACGACCATTGACGCCACACACCGCCAGCACAACCTCTGTCCCCCCCCTCCTCCTCCTCCTCATCTCCCACCCCAAAACCAAAAATAACTCCCCACCACCTTTTGCGTCAAGCCGAGTTAAAACCCCGCGAATCACCCCCCCCCCCCCCCCCACACATAAGCCCGCACATTGCAGGTGTGTGACACCGCCTGCCTTTGTTGCGAACGAGGTCAAAATAGCCCCTCTGCACCGCCACGCCATCAAACAAAGAAAGCTCTTGCAAAAAAATCCTGCTCCGTCAGCCTGAAAGCGGCGAGCACCTTGTGCCAAGTCACGGACGGGTGGCTATCTGCAGCGATTCGCGGGCTCTTGTTTTGGGGCTTGTCGGGGGCTCTTGTTTAGTTCAGAACAAAAACTAAATATGCGCATTTTGGTTTCAAATAACAATGGGGGGGAGATAGGAGGGGGGGGTTGCCTATGAATTTGCGTAAGACGAAATCATTGTTTTTTTATCTTTGGTAGCGCATGCAGTTATGATTCTATTACATTTATTCTGACAGAGAAACTATACTGACAAAGTGAGCAGCAATGGAAAAATACTTGCACACCACTTGAATTGTCTCCATCCACGTACCCCCGTATGTGTTTACAAATGTGTTAGTATGGTAACGGTGTTATACCAAACAATTAAGATGAATATTTGCGGACATTTCTTTGTTAAAAGTAAACAATATCATGCAATAAGGCAGGTCGTGCCAAAACAATATAAATATGCCTTAGTGTGGCTCTATTGAGTTGTTCGAAATTTCCCTAAATCCCCAAAGAACGTAACGTATGCTTGCAGTGTGTTTATGAGCAGTGGTGCATGGTCGACATGCGTTTCTTAAGCCAAGATAAAGCAAATATTCAGTGAAGAGAATCAGTGTGCCAGCAACATTTTACAATTTTTATAGAAATGCATTCATGTAGAAACACATATTTTTGTATGTGTTTCTACCATAAATACACAACCCTCCCTTAGCTATACTCTTTGGTTCTATTCGGTAAAGTCACGTAGGTAAAAAAATAAAACAACAAAAATCACACGACGTTTCGGCCACAACACAAGTGGTCTTCATCAGGTGAAGGGGGACCGTACTGTCCAGAGGACAGCGTTGGAGTGACTTTACCGAATAGAACCAAGAGTATGGAATCCTTGCAGCTCACGAAAGCTTCAAATCCTCCCCTTAGCTTCCGATATCTGCTGACGAGATGCGTGGACGCATTCTGAGTGACTTGGCCAAAGGCATCGGATACACAGTAGTATGTTGCTCAATGCCTATTCATATGTAACTATTTAAATACCAATTTTAAAAAAAAAAACTTCGGAATTGTTTTACATTAAACTAGCTGCCCGCACGTCATTTGGACCTGGCCGTCCGTCTCTCTCTCTCTCCCTCTAGCCAGTGAGAAAAAAAACTTTGTTCGACTATACTATGAGAGTATTGTAGCGTATCCCGCAAAGTTGCGCGGGTTGTGAGTGGGGGGGCGTGACGTCTGCACGCGCGAACCCGGCTCAACTGTGAGATGCGGGTGACGTCATCATGCCAATGTGCGCGGTGACGTCACCACCGCGAACGCGCATTTGGCCGTGCGCCAGACAGGCAGGAATCCAGGCAGCAAACTTTTATTTTTCGAATATAGTGTTGGTGTATAGTGCAGTTGCCAACTCATATTCACTCTATCGCTATGGCCTCTCTATGGATGTGTTATGCAGCAGCGCCATAAGGCAGTGTTATTAACGAATGATTTGAGTTTTATATTGTTCATGTGGCACCACGGCCAACGCAAAATCGCCAAATAATTTGCTTTATGATATAGCGGAAACACTCACTAATCATAACCATGCGTTTTTATTTCGCAGGAAGATCATTGCCGAGTCGACAGTTATTTTCAAGGGGGGCATGCATTGTAGTGTACGGGATAACGATAGATTCAGCAATGCATTGTAGTGTACGGAATAACGAGAGATTCAGCAATGCATTGTAGTGTACAGGATAACGATAGATTCAGCAATGCATTGTAGTGTACGGGATAACGATAGATTCAGCAATGCATTGTAGTGTACAGGATAACGATAGATTCAGCAATGCATTGTAGTGTACGGGATAACGATAAATTCAGCAATGCATTGTAGTGTACGGGATAACGATAGATTCAGCAATGCATTGTAGTGTACGGGATAACGATAGTATTCATAGGCAGTCTCCCATCTAACCACTAACTATACTAACTATATAATCTGGCTTCCGAGGTCTAAATAGGACTGCATTCACGTGGTCATCGGGTGTAAGGCTCAGCACGACAAAGCAGAATCGGTGTTCGTGGTCAGACCCAATCGCCTGCCACTACCACTTGAGAAGCAAAACTGAGTCATACCATTTTCTTCACATGGTCAATGGCATGCGGTGAATTGTGTTACTTAATCCTCTTTTGTTGGCCACACAAACAAATCGGTGGCATAGTAATAGGTTTTACCCTTTTAACTGGCACAAAAACTGACAACCTTTATTCAAGGCATCATGTTTGCAATAACCACAACACAAGCAGTCAAAATGCAAACAAAAGAGACAACTCTGATAATGATATTGGCACTGTCCTTGAATTTGATTGGTCCACACCCGAGACGGCTTTTCTTAGAGCCTAGTCTCCACTGGTGTTGGACAGAAGACGCCAAAAGGCGTACAACTCAAAAACAGCACACTCTCAGAGTATTGAGGGCGTCGGTGTTGAGCATTTACATTATGAGACCTCCTTTGCCAGTAACAAGATATAGTAATAGGTTTTACCCTTTTAATAGGTTTTACCCTTTTACTATATCTTGTTACTGGCAAAGGAGGTCTCATAATGTAAATCGGTGGCACTCAATATTTGAAACTCGTGCTCTGACACAACTGGACCATAAAAGATGTTTTATTGTTTACTCTGTACAGCGGGCCTCAGTGAGATGCGGTCGCATTGATACATTAGCATACTATATTATTTATGTTTTAGTTTGACTGGCTGGCTGGCGCGCGGGTAGGCAAGTGGAAGATGGTGACGTAACCGCACACATCTGCGCGATGACGTCAACCGCATGCCCCCAGCATTGAGCCCGTGTTCTTGCGTGCTGACGTTTGCTCTGTGTTAATTATCGTATATTTATAATCATCATGTATTTTTAAATTGTTTGTTTTTATATATTCATATTTTTTTAGTACGCATTATTGAATTTTATTCATTTTACATTTTTATAAGAAAAAAATTAAGTTGTTCATCTATTTATTCTAAACGTTTGTGTCGGCGTCGAAATGTTAAGCATTGTGTAATGAAATTTTCATGAATGGCGCTATATTAAATGTTCTGTTTAAATTTACTCGAAAAATCAGGAAAATCTAATTATTCTCATTGGGTCTCTAATTTGCACGCGCTTTTCAAACTTTATTTATTTATTTATAGACCTGCGAAGGATGTTTGGAAAGGCGCTAAATCCGCATCCATAACAATATTTTCGATAAACGCTTCAGCATTTTACGAGACTGTACCTTTTTGCGAAGAGTGTGACACTGCAGCCGATGAAAACAAAATATAAACCCCCCTCTACCAATAGCCACACGTTGCAGCCCTTTCTGTGTTGTACTAGATATGGGTCACTTCACGACGGTGCCGGTCGTGAACTTTAAGTTAAGTTGACCATACTGGTCAGTGCGGGTTGGTGGAAGGCAGGGGGACAATATACGTGGAAACATAAGTGCAGTGAAACAATACTCATTCACGCACGTGGCCTTGCACAACCCTTAGCTTTCGAATATCTGCTGAGTGACTTGGCCAAAGGCATCGGTAACAGTTAAATTTATTGTAAGGCACGTATCGGATCGCTGTGCGTCAGAGCAATTCCTACAACTTATCAGTCGTATCCACGAATAGAAGGCGCATGACGTCTGCGTGTCGTATGTAAATCAAATTGGTAAAACTAGTTTTTCACGCGATCGCTAATATTTACGAAACAATGTATAACGGTGGCGAAATCTCGGGACATGTATCTGATGACGTCGGCTGGGTCACGAGCGTAAGACAAATCAAATACCCACGGCTCGTGGTCTCCGCCGGGACACGACACGCGCAGCCTGGGCGTTGACATGAAACACGATGCGCGTCAATTTGCGCAACGCGTCACGGCGAATTCCACCAGCGGTGGAAGCAGCGGCGGTCCCCTCTCGCGTGGAATCTACGATTCACGCATTCGCTTCACGTGGGTGTATTTAGAGCCGCTTGAAAATACCGGGCCGTGAAGGTCACAGGTCAACAAATGTATATTCTCACTGAAATCGGCCAACAACAGCTCTCGGTCTCTCTCATCCTCGCATTTAGTCCTGATGATGGGCGTATTTCTCGACCTCTCTCTGCCCCTCTATCGGGGCTCATAAGGACTATCCATGTCAGAGCACTGAACTACGACTAATTGACACCCTGCGTTTGACTCCGGGTTAATCAACCCTTGATTAAGGCCGGTTATTGTGCAGAGCAGCAAGATGCGTCTCAGCTTGGTCACCTATGACTCCACCAAATCACTTCAAATAATGAGGGTTTACACTTACTAAGCCAGGCCATCTAAGAAGAATAACTCTTATAATACACCTGTTTGACTCACTGCGAACCACTCTTCACAGACTATGGAGAAACGCCAATTAAATATCTGGGGCAGACTACATCGAATAACAGACTTCGATCTGCATATTCTTGGTTCTTTCGGTAAAGTCACGTTGAAGGGAAACAATACAATAATAAAATATATATATATAACAATATTGTTTTATATATATTTTAAACAATATTGTTTTATATATTTTATATATATTTCATTATTTTATTGTTTCCCTTCAACGTGACTTTACCGAAAGAACCAAAAATATGAATCACTGCAGTCACGAAAGCTTTCAATCAAAATTCGATCTGCATGTTAACCTATGAGCATTCCGTTCTCTTAATGG